TATATAAATGTTAAATGTTCCTGACAATTTAAAAGAGTAGAGGTTAAGAGAGATATGAAGGACAAATTTAGAGATGTGAAAGCCAATGTTTCATACCTGAATGACTTTTTAAAATTATTATACTTTAATTTCTAGGGTATATGTGTAGAATGTGCAAGTTTGTTACATAGGTATACATGTGCCATAGTGGGCTGTTGCATCCATCAAGCTATCATCTGCTTTAGGTATTTCTTTTAATACTAGCCCTCCCCTAGGCCCCCACCCCCAGACAGGGTTCAGTGTGTAATGTTCCCCACTGTGTCCATGCGTTCTCATTGTTCAACTCCTACTCATGAGTGAGAACACCTGGTGTTTGGTTTTCTTTTCTTGTGTCAGTTTGCTGAGTATGATGGTTTCCAGCTTCATCCATACCCCTGCAAAGGATATGAACTCATTCTTCTTTATGGCTGCATAGTATTCTATGGTATATATGCACCACATTTTCTTTATTCAATCTGTCATTGATGGGCATTTGGGCTGTTTCCAAGTCTTTGCTATTGTAAAGTGCCACAATAAACATACATGTACATGTGTCTTTATAATAGAACTTTGTAGTCCTTTGGGTATATACCTAGTAATGGGATTGCTGGGTCAAATGATGTTTCTAGTTCTAGATCCTTGAGGAATCGTCACACTGTCTTCCGTAATGGTTGAGGTAATTTACACTCCCACAAACAGTGTAAAAGTGTTCCTACTTTACCACATCCTCTCCCAGCATCTGTTGTCATTTATTTATCCTCCTAAGAATGATACACACAAGTGTGTATGTTAGACTCAAAGATTTAATTTCAGAGTTGCAGAGTCGCTGCTGATCATTTGCCAGAGTGTTGCCTGGGGCAACCCTTAAGAACAGTGCCCAAATAGGTCAACACAAACAAGGAAGAAATGTGATAACAGTAGGTGCAATAGGAATTTCTACCACTTCTGTTTTTCCAAGGCCCAAATCAGATATTCCAAATACATTCTTGGATATTCATGTAGAAAGTCAGAAGGAAGGTGAAAAATAGAAATTGATCAGGAGTGATGTCTCCAGAAAAACATTATAGTAGTTATAGAAAATACTGTATTTTATATTTGAGTTAAAATATATAAATTAGAAGCCCATTTATTCATGAAAATGATTAAGAGCTATAACTTTTGAGTTTTTCTATTACTCAGTAGTGCTTATCAAATATTTCTATTGCCCCTCTCCCAGGGGTCATGTGCATTTCCCTAACGCCTTGTCATTAGGTGCTTGAGATACAGGTTGACCTTCATCTGTGGGAGGAAATTGTTGGTATTGCTGTAGATCAGAGAGATTTAAGAGTCAGTATTGAGCGCAGGACTTTGAGACTGGTGGAATGTAAACCTCTGTGAAACTGTTCCTTTATGAAAGCAATGAAATGCTGGAAAAAATTGTCAAAATAAACTTTTTCAAAATTCTGGAAATTAGTCAAATGTTTGCAACAATATGCATTTATTCAACAAAAATAGCAGAACCTAGGTAAGAAAAGCAGAGTTTGTAGTGTTTTTACATTGAGTTGTTTTAATCTTTTTTTTTTTTTTTTCAATTATGTGATAGCCTTGAACCACAGCAGCTAGGAAAACCATCAGGCTTGCAGCCACCAGAGTGGACAGCTGGTGAGAAACTCCTCACAAAGCTCCACTCTTAGAACATACCACAATGTGACTTGTCTACCAGCTCCATGGAAAAGCCCCATTCAGAGAGCATTGGTTTTATTTGACCCTGGGAAGGAGGCAAAAACTTATTTCTAGAGTTCCCATATTATTCAAAATGTTTAGTTTTCAACAAAAATTATGAGACATGCAAAGAAATAGCAAAGGCTATTCCATATACAGGAAACAAAAAAAGGCAGTTAACAGCAAACGGTATCCTAAGGGCATTCAAATGCTGAATTTAGCATACAAAGATTTTCAACTATCATGATTAGCATCAAATAAATAAAGAAAACCATGTCCAAAGAGTTCAAGAAAAGCATGAGAACATAAAACTAGCCCATCAGCAAAAGTTTTTATATAAATATGTGAAGCATTTACAGAATTACTAAAACAATTATTAGATGACAAGTGAGCCAAATTAGTAAATATTCCTGTGGCTACACAGTACAGGGAATATAGACTTCACAGAATTAGAGGAAAGTATGACTGTGTTAGGCCATTCTTGCATTGCCACAAATAAATATCTGAGACTGGATAATTTATAAAGAAAAGGGGTTTAATTGGCTCACAGTTCTGCAGGCTTTACAGGAAGCCTGGTGCTGGCATTTGCTCAGCTTCTAGGGAGGCCTCACGAAGCTTAGAATCATGGTGGAAGGTGAAAGGGGAATAGGCATGTCAGAGGGTGAAAGCAGGAGCAAGCAAAAGTGTGGAGGGGAGATGCCACACAGTCTTAAATGACCAGATCTCATGTGAACTCAGAGAGCTCACTCATCACTGAGAGCATGGCCCAAACCATTCCTGAGGAAGTTGCTCCCATGAGACAAACACCTCATGGGGATGACATTTCAACAGGAGATTTGGGTAGGGACAAACATCCAAACTACATAAATGACAATGACGTCTCAACATGTACAGAATGAGAGAAGGTGTCACAAAATTAAAAAGCAACAAACAGAGATACTAGAATTGAAAAGTAAGCAACTAAATTTAAGGAAAATATTACTAGTGGAGTTCAACAACAGATTTGAGCTGCAAAAAGGAAGGTTCAGTAAAGCTAGAAGATACATCATCTATTTAAGATTATCTAGTCAGAGGAACAGAAAGCAAAATAATACAAAATGTGAATATAGCCTCAGAGACCTGTAGGCTACCATCCATTGTCCCAGCACAAAGATAATGGGAATCCTAGAAAAATTGGAGAGAAAAGAGAGCAGAACATCATCTATTTAAGATTATCTAGTCAGAGGAACAGAAAGCAAAATAATACAAAATGTGAATATAGCCTCAGAGACTGTAGGCTACCATCCATTGTACCAGCACAAAGATAATGGGAATCCTAGAAAAATTGGAGAGAAAAGAGAGCAGAGAATATTTAAAGAAAGAATGGCTCAAAATCTCCCAACCTGAGGAAAAATGTTAATGTACTCACTGAAGAAGTGAATGAACTCCAAGCAGTAAAAACAGAAAAAGCTCCGCACCTAAAAACATCACAGTCAATGTTCAAATTAGAAGAAACACAGAATACTGAAAACACAAGAGAAAACAACTCATGCTGTGAAATGAATGCTCATAAAAATCGAATGAATTTTCAAATTTGAAGTGCTAAAAGACAGAAATGAAATAGAGACTAAAAAATCAATAAGAAAACACAATTCTATAGAAAAATTTACCTAGGCTAAGGAAAAAAGCAAAGAGTAGACTCAAATGACTAAAATGAGTAATGAAAGAAAGGACATCTCTACTCACCCTGCAGAAATAAAAAAGATTATACAGGAATTCTGTAATAAACTGTATGCTAACAATGATGTCACTTAGAGTTAAAGGAAACATTTCTAGAAATATACAAATGTTCAAAATTGACTCAAGAATAAAAATGAACTCCAAAGTAACCTATAACAAAGATTAAATGGCTAATTAAAGAACACTTCTCGCAAAGCAAATGCCAGTCCTAGATGGTTTCACGGGTAATTTCTGCCAAAATTTTAAGGAACTAAAAACAATTCTTCACAAAATCTTTTAAAAAATAGAAAAGGGAAAAACATATCCCAACTCATTCTATGAAGCTAGCATTACCCTGTTATCAAAACCAACTAAAGAGATCACAAGAAACCAATGTCCCTTATAAATATTGATGCAAATATTCTCAACAAAATAATAGCAAACTGAATACAGCAACATATAAAAAATATTCCATCAGGACCAAGTGGAGTTTATTGCAGTAATGCAAGGTCGATATAACATCAAATAATCAACCAATGTAATATACCATATTATTAGAATAAAAGACAAAAACCACATGATTTTCTTTATAAACATGACATGGGAAAAGTTGACAAAATCTAACACCCGTTTATGACAAAAGAAAGTACTCAATAAGAACAGAAGAGAACTTCCTTAATCTAATAAACAGCATCAGTGGAAAACTCACAGCTAACCTAAAGAAGGACTCATTGATTTATCTTGAATATCAGGAAAAGACAAGGGTATCTATTCTGGCCACTTCTATTTAACATTATAGTGAATGTTCTAGTTAGGAAAGTCATTCATGAGAAAGAAGTAGAAGTAATCAGATTGGAAAAGAAAACCAAACCAGCTCTGTTTGCAAATGATATGATCTTGCATGTAGAAAATCCTAACGAATTTAGTGGATTCAGTTTAAATAATAAACACATTCAGTAATGTTTCAGGATACAAGATCAATATACAAATATCAAATCTACACACCATCAATGAAAAATCCAAAATGAAATGTAGAATACAAAGCCATTTAGAATATCCTCAAAGACATGAAATACTTAGAAATGAATCTAGGAAAAAAAGTGCAAGACTTGTACACTAATAAAGCATTGTTGAAGGCGAAGATGGTCCAAGTAAACGAAAATATATCTTACATTCAGAGATAGAAAAACTTAATTAAAAAAATATTATTTATTTTTTGGGATGGATTCTCATTCTGTCGCCCAAGCTAGAGTGCAGCGGTGCAATCTTGGCTCACTGCAACCTCTGCCTTCCAGGTTCAAGCAATTCTTCTGCCTCAGCCTCCTGAGTGGCTGTGTTTACAGGAGGCTGCCACCACATCAAGACAATTTTTTTTATTTTTAAGAAAGGAGAAAAAAGTTAATATTGTTAACAGACATTCAACATTGTTTGATAGAAGTTCAGCATTTAAAATACAAAATATGCATCATTTTGAAAATAAAATAACAGTAAACATTTGTTTAGGCGAATATAAACCAAGAAAAGCTGGAATATGAAAATCTAGTAGCTGACAAGATAAAATTGAAGGAAAAATTTCAGAAGGAATGAAGCCAGAATTTATGTACTGGTAAAAGTAACTATTTTCATCAACTAATATCAGTTTAAAATATGTTAACACTAACTGAATTCTAGAAAGCAATAGATAAATCCATAACTGTAATATTAACCCAAATACCTTAGAAATATATAGACCCAATAGATAGAAAACATAGAATTCAAGGAAACATACAGAAGATTCAAATAATAACCAGTAATAAATTATAATGTAGATAGTAGTTAAAAACATTGTCAGGAACTCAGAAGAGCTGAGAGAGAGAACTCGGAGCAGCAAGTTTCGGAATAGCTGATAAAGTAACAACCCAGATGCAATAATAGTCAAGTCTTTAATCACTGTGAAGGAATAAGCAAGAATCTATCACTGGAGGTAGCACTGACCTCCCATGAGCATGTGTACCAATTAAAGGTCAGGTAGATTAGCACTAACATAATGGCTATGTCATTGTTGAGGGAGCTCTGAGCAAAGGCTCCTGCAGTTTTATAGGCCTGGGGTTTGGGGTGAGGTCTGGAGAAAGGCGAGAAGTAGAAAAGGCTTGAGTACTGAATGAGTCCATTGCAGAAAAGTGTCTTCAAGATCCTCCAACAAGAAGAATTCCAAATGGAGGGCTTGGACTAGGAATGCAGATAAGCATTAGAGCATAGTGGGCCAGGGACCCCAGTTCTTGACTGCAACTCCCTTCAGAGACTGCTGTGCACTGACTGTGTACCCAGTTTGGTGTGGGGAGGGCAGCTTTTCCCCATGAGGCCTGCCAGCTAAAGCCTTTATAATTGCTTCTGGATGTACCTGAAAAATCACAAAAAATGTTTGAACATGAGCTGAAACTCTCAAATACGTAATCTAAGGCCAAACTGACTGCGTTCTTATCACTACCACTTAGTTTTGTCACTGACTAGACGTGAGATCTTGAGCAAGTTAACAATTCTGTAATGAGTGTTTCTATTTGTTGAATGGGAATATGTTTGGTAAAGGAAGTATACTAATATATTTTATCTACAGAAAAAATATCAGACACATAGTGTTATAAATTTGTTAGCACTTGTTTATACATATGCATAGGCACAAACACATATCTATGGATATCTATATTGTGAATATATTATGTACATTATCCTATTATGCATTTTTATTTTATATGTATTTATATATATACATACTTAAACAAATGATTTTTGTACCTAACAAATGCACATATACATTCTTTTCAAATTTAAATGAAATATTTACAAAATTTGGCCATTTGATATGCTGCACTTTATCTCTGTGTCAGTTCACTTCCCATTGGCTAGAATCAGTCACATGGCAACAAAAGAATGATTTTGAAATGCATTCTAGCTGCATAAGTAGAGATAGAAGGAAACCGTTTTTGAACAACTAGCATCTCTTCTGTAGTTTGCCTCTTTCTAGTTACCAACCACTATGCGTACCCTTTTTTAAACACATATATTAACTCTTTCACCAAAAGAAAAAACAGAAGGTTTCACTCGTACAGAATTTCGGAGGACATACCCTTGACTCCATCAAAAATGAGTATGTATATTTCTGGTCTGCTAACATAAAAACCAGAAAAATGGTTATTTGTTGTTATCCTCTTACACAACACACAACAGTAGAGCCAGGAATAGACTATTATGATAAAAACTCACGTTCAGAAAAAAGGAAAAATGGAAACACATGATAGTCATTGATTCAGAGAAACATTGCAGTTTCGCTGGGCTAGTATTGTAAAAACTTCCACCCAAACAGTATCAGAAGTTTTAAAAATTCGATTTTAGATCTGTTTTTTTTTTTTGGGAGGAACACCTGGCTCCAGTATCTGGGAGGTTTTCTCTTTTGACCCAGAGGACAAATGGAAGAACACTGGAGATCATGTTTCCTTTGAAGGGTGAGGAGTGTGGCACAACTTCTTTTGGTTTGAAAATTCAATGAGTCAAACTTTTTAGAGTACAGTATTAGATACTTCAGTGGTGCAGATACTTCAAAAACATAACAGAATTTTAATCTGTTTTCAGTTTCTTCTATGAGGCAGCAACCAAAGCCAAGGTTATGTTGTAGACATTGTTTTTAAGTTTTTTCTTATTTCTGTGCTTATTCCTTGTGCTTATCTCTCTCTTAATGGAGGCTTCTTTAAGCCCTTCTAAAAATAGGCTTGGATGGGAAGGCCAAAATCTTCATCAGACCTTTGCCATAGGGTTAAGTGCCTTTATTTAACTGAGACTTTCAAGTCCTTTCTTGCTACGTTGGGTGTGGAAGTACTGGCCTTTTTATAACTATGTCCCACTTTTCTAGAGCCTCTCTATTCCCTTTCATTTATGTTTGAAAACTGATCAACTTGAATCAGTTAATAATATATTTCTACCAACAAGCAGCATTAAGCAAACAAAACACAATAACTTTTGGCTCTTTCCAGTGGCTTTCTATGAAGTAGCAAGTTTCCTAGGCACTTGGTCTGCCTTACAAATTATTGCAGGCAACTAATAAATGTTTTACCACTAAAACAAACAAATGTACAAAAACCTCTATCTTTTCAGTCGGTGATATTTCCTTGCCCCCTCCTGTTTGGCTGCTAAGTCAATGGCACATGTTTTAGGTTTTGGTTATGATATCATGCCATTTCTAATACGAATTATTTGTTATATCTGAAGAACAAATTTGTAAATGACAATAGTTTTGTCAAAACTGTTTCTCAAGAGTGTATACTAAACTAATACTTTTTAATTATTTTTTTTTGCTACAACTCACAACAAAAAACACAATTTCTATCATCATTCAGTAAACACACACAGACATAAACATGTATGTATACACCTGGATAGCAGATGGACCAACACTGTGTCATATCTAAACTGGGACCATTACTTGGCAACCCCATATGTGTGGTATGGGTTCCAGAGGAAATTCCCTTTATGATGCTAAATTTATTTTTCACATAAAATTTTAAATATTGGTTTGAAAACTGCTGAATATTTTGAAATGGTATTTATGACAGCTAGGTTAGTCCTTTGAGACATTAGATTGATGTGATTTTTGTGTCCTGATTTTAGTGTTATATTTATTAAAGAGTTTCAATGTTTAAAAATAAATACCATGTATTATATAATAACGTTTCATTTAAAATTACATATGTATCTTTTCACTTATGATTTATACCCTTGTTAAAGTATATTTCCATTTGATCTAACTTTAATAATACTTAAAAGGATTAAGAATAAACAGTGGAACCAACATTAATCTTTTTAATATGTATAAGAGATCTTTATTATCATAATAACTACTGATAAGAGATGCAACTTTACAATTTTAGTACTGAGTTTTCTATTTAAAAAGAATGATAGACTGGGTGCAGTGGCTCACGCCTGTAATCCTAGAACTTTTGGAGGCTGAGGCGGGCAGATCATGAGGTCAAAAGATTGAGACCATCCTGGCCAATATGGTGAAACCCTATCTCTACTAAAAATACAAAAATTAGCTGGTGTGGTGGCACGTGCCTGAAATCCCAGGTACTTGGGAGGCTGAGGCGGGAGAATGGCTTGAACCTGGGAGGCAGAGGTTGCAGTGAGGACGGAGCCACTGCACTCCAGTCTGGTGACAGAACAAAACTCCACCTCAACAAACAAACAAAACAAAACAAAGCAAATGATAAAGGCATTGTGTAATTTCCTGAAATATGAAGTATTATGAAAGTGCATCTTAATGTTGGAAGAATAACAAATCCTAAAGTTGATTAGTAAGACAAAATAAAATAGCATTGCAGTTCTTTAAAAAAAAAAAAAAGAAACTAAAAATAAAATACAAGTTTGGAAACTTAAAAATTAAGGATTTGTTTGTTTCTTTGCATTTATACCATGGTCTCTGAATTTGTAATTTTTTTTTTTTTTTTTTTTTTGAGGCCCGTTCACAGGACGCCATATGAACACAAAACTGTATGGAAGTTTCTGAAAACAGTTCCAGATTTAACCTCTCAGCTAAATGATGAGCATCTGAAAACACTCAGTAAGACCGTCTTTTCTGAAACCTGGTTGAAAGGCAGCACAGGTAATAGACTAATGTGGGCATAAATTTGGCGAGATAAGATGCAGGCCACTGTTTCGAGTTCTTTATCATTATAAAGCTTATAATTTCATTTGACAATTTAGTTGACATAGTAAAAATGTACTATTTGGATGTATTTCATTTGTAAATTTATAAGTAGTGAAATGAATAACATCTCAGATTTTAGATATAACTAGTGTTTCTCCGCCTGGAGCACGAATCAGAATTACCCAGAGATTACATTGAGACCCATAGTGTTGTGTTTAAACCTCAGAATTTCTGGTTCAATAGGTATAGGATGAGGCCTCAATTTCATTTCCAATACCTCAGGTGATGCTATCAGTGCAAGGACCACACTTTTGGAACCAATATCTGAGATACACATTTAGTAACAATATAGTGTTGATTTTCATAGATAAGACAACAGATGGTCAATGTGATTATTAGACTAAATCAGATACTAATCCAGATATAGGAGAAAAAGCCTCTCTACAGAGATTTTCATTTTTCAATTTTAGTTTTTGCTCCCTTCCCAAAAGATTTAGTGGATATATTAATAGACTTGTTATATTTTAATTTTGAGGGGTAGGCATATAATTTAATACATTCTTTGTGTCAGGTGTATCCCTTTTTATTCCTCAGAAAAACAAGTAAAGGGAGATATTGGTATTATTATTCTCCACAGATGAGGACCCCTGAGGCACAACACAAATATCACACAGAGCATTCTTGGTTAAAATTGAGTTTCAAATGCTCTTCAGCCTAATGCTAAACCTCTTCTCTGTTTATTATGTCACTGTCAGTACAAACTGGTTTATCAAGATCATGACATTTAAAACTTAACTAGAATTTTAAAGAATATATGTCTATTGAAAAAATTCACGTATTTCCAGAGTTTTCCCTCAATGCCCTTCTCTTGTAATTAGTTCCATTTAATCTGTGATCAAACAATTAAAAGTAAATCAAAGGAATTTTAAAGAGGATAAAATAATTTTGAAAGGGAATAAAGGACAAACATTCAACATCACTTTGCCATTAGACTGAGGATAGTAATTAAAAATTAATTTGTTTTATAAATCACTGAAAACTTATTTATAATGGTAAAAAATATGGGAACAACCTAAATGTCCTTGAATAGAAGGCTGGCTACACGCACTGTGATACGTCTATTCTATGGAATTCTAGACAGCGTTTCAAAAGAATGAGCTAGATTTGTATATATTGACATAGAAACATTAAAGACAATAAATAGAACAATTGCAAATTATATTAATAGCACATTTATGACAGAGTCTAAATTTACATGCATACACACACATACACACACATATGTGTATATATACACAAACATATCTTTTTAAACGATACAAGTGGATCAAGAAGGACACTCCAAAAATACATATTTTTAAAAAGTATTGTCTTAGTGGAGGGGAGTGAAATTGAGGGGTTATAAAGGGCCAAAATTAACTCTTTCTTCTACATATATTTGAGTTGGTTTTATTTTTCCACAACATGTGTATTTATTTGTTAATATTTGTAATTACACATTTATTTTTTTCAAACATTTTCTAAAATTAAAATTAGAAACAAAAATTTAATTCTGATGGCACATTAATTACTCAGGTGATTGACAATTAAAACATGAATTTTCAGTTTTTCACAAGTGTAAAGCATTTCAACTTGCATTTCAATAGGGTGTATTTTCAACACTTAAAAATTAGGAGTCCCTGTGTTTACACCTACCTGTGTCAAAATCCTCAAGTTTTTAAAGCATTTAGTTCCAACAGCTCAGATCTATTTCACTAGCAAAGAAGTCAACTCATTAAATATCTGACCTTTGTAGATTTCTTTGTTCATCCAATTTAATAAAAAGGCCTAACCAGGTATCTGTTTCTCTTCTTTTTCCTTATTCTTGTATGCATTTCCCTCCCTCTGCTGTTATTTAAACTATTCCCTCTAGTAGCCCCTCATCACCAGCTGCTGACTTTCAATCTGCTGCTGGGGCTTCCATTTCTCTGGTGCAATTCCACACAGCTGTTTGCACCTTCTGGCCTCTTTTCTGGCCACTAGTTCTTACAGCCTCATTATTTAAGAAAGCTTCCTAAACTTACCATTATTCACTCAGCCTCTTGCTCATTCAGTTTTTAAACACAATCAAACAGAAACAGGAAAACAATATTATGATTTTAAGTAGTAAATAAAACATATGTGCCTCTAAGTGAAAATGCTACAAAAATATGATTATTATTTACTGACTGTATTATTACTACATATGAGTACTTACACTAAAATTATTCTATATAATATATTTTACATATAGTCATCTCTCTATATACACGTATATGGAGATATAGCTTACCGAAGTCAAATGGAAGAGTTTTTCATTAGATCACCTTCATTATGACCAGAACAAGGGGCATTTTTATAATCGATAACCTAAAGTTCACAAAAATTAACAGAATTGCCAGTTTAGTTACTAACTTGTAACTAGATCCCAGATCAAACTTTTATTATCTAGCTTTATGTTAATATTGAAAACTATTTTTATAAAATATTTCTTTCTCTCTCTCACTTTTTTTTTTTTTTTTTTCCTGGAGATGGAGTCTCACTCTGTCTCCCAGGCTGGAATGCAGTGACACAATCTTGGCTCACTGCAACCTCCGCTCCCTGGGTTCAAGTGATTCTCCTGCCTCAGCCTCCCAAGAAGCTGGGATTACAGGCACCTGCCACCACACCCGGCTAATATTTTATTTTTAGTAGAGACAGGTTTTCACCATCTTGCCCTGGCTGGTCTTGAACTCCTGACCTCTTGATCCCCTCACCCTGGTCTCCAAAAGTGCTGGAGCCACCACGCCTGACATGTTTTTCTTTTTTATTTCTGTCACCGTTGCTGTTTTCTTTGTGTAGACATTTGTCTTACAGTACTATTTCTCTTCTTTTTCTTTCATTTTATTTCATTCTGTAGCCCACTTTTGTGAGGTTTTATCTCTAAAACTCCATAATTTCTCATTTTCATTAAATTCTACATTTACTTTTAATGCTGAAAATATTTTTATATTACTAACTTCTAACATTTCTTTAATCTGCATAGATTTTATTTTCTGTTGTGGTTTATATTTCATTTGACAACTAAAAATACGGTAGCTAAATCTCATGAAAAATGTAGTGGGCATATTTTCTAGACATAAATTAACCATAATTCAAATAATTTATTCTAAGGAATAAAATCTTCAGCTGAAATTTATCATAAATCTAGTCTTTATCTAAACTGATTGAGGAATAAGAGGAGATCCAAGAGAAATCCAGAAGAGGAAGACTTCACTGCTGAATTTTACCAAACATTTTAGAAAGAATTAGTATCAGTTATTTGGACACTCTTCCAAAAACTTGAATAGGAGTGTATACTCGCAAACTAATTTTATGAAGCCAGCATTAACCTAATATTAAAGGCAGACAAGATAAATGAATTCAGTAAAATGGCAGGATACAAAATCAACATATGAAAATTAGTAGTGTTCCTCTACTAATAAAATATCCAAAAAGGAAAATAACAATTTTATTTACCAATAACAACAAAAAAATACTTAGATGTAAATCCAAAGTAAAAGACCTGTAAACTGTAAACTAAAAAACATTGATGAAATATATTGAAAAAAAATAGTAATGCATAGAAAGCTGTGCTTTCTATGTTTAAGGATTGAAATAATTAATATTGTTAAAATGCTCATACTATTAAAAGTAATCTATAGATTCAATGCATCCCTGTCAAAATTCCATGACATTTTTCACAGAAATAGAAAATTCTTATATTCATGTGGAACCACAAAAGAACCCAAAAGGCCAATACAATTTTGAGCAAAAAGAATAAAGCTAGAGGCATCATACTCTTTGATTTCAAAATATGTTGTAAAATGATTATAATAAAAACACAAGGCAATGGCATAAAAACAGATATGTTGATATGATAAGGCTTTGTGTCCCCACCCAATTCAGTGGTAGAAAGAAAACTCCTTCAACAACTTATGATTGGAGAACTAAATATCAAGATGCTAAATAATGAAGGTAGACCCCTAACTTACATCCTACATAAATATTTACCAAACATGAATCAAGGATATAAAGGTAATAAATAAAACTATAAAACTTTTTGAAGAAAACTTAAGAATTAATCTTCATAATTATAAATTAAGCCATACATTTTTACACATAACACTGGCAGTGTAAGTAAAAAAAAATTGAATTATTTGGATTTTATAAAACAAAAATATTTTGAGTTTCTAATAATACAATTAATAAAGTAAAAATTCAGCTTTTGAAATGGAATACAGTACTTGCAAATTATATATCTAATAAAGATCTCCTGTCCATAATATGAAGAACTTGTAAACCTCAATAACAAGAAGACAACCAAATTTACAAACAAGTATATTAGCTGAATAGATATGTTTTCAGAGAAGATATAAAAATTGCCAATAAGCACATAAAAATATCCAACATCATTGTCATTAAGGACTTCCAAATAAAAACCATAATGGCATACTACTCCATCTCCACTAGAATTGTTAAAATATAAAAGAAAATATTAAGTGTTCATATGGATGTGGAGAAGTTGGAACTCATACATTTCTCTTGGGATTATAAGATGAAGCCACTTTGTAAAACAGTTTGGCAGTTCCTCAAATATTAGCCATAAAGTTACATTTGCCCCATGTATTAGTCTGTTCTCACATTGCTAATAAAGATATACCTGAGATTGGATAATTTATAAAGGAAGAAGTTTAATGGACTCACATTTCCACATGGTTGGGGAAGCCTCACAATTATGGTGGAGGGTGAAAGGGAAGCAAGACACGTCTTACATGGTGGCAGACAAGAGAGAATGAGAGCCAAGTGAAATGGGAAACCTCTTATGAAACCATCAGATCTCATGAGACTTATTCACTACCTTGAGAACAGTATGGGGGAAACTGCCCCATGATTCAATTATCCTCTCACACTGGGTC